TGGAAACACTACTTGTTAGGGAGACACTTCACTCTCTACTCAGATCACTCGACACTGAAGTGGATAAAGACTCAACCAAGACTCTTTGACAAACTAGTACGATGGTCTACTTTCCTCGACACCTTTGACTTGAGTTGAAGACAATCAAAGGTAAGTCTAACGTTATGGCAGATGCATTGTCTAGGAGAAGTGATTTCTTTGGAACCATTGTCTCCTACTTGGATATAGGAAATGATGTGCAGGAACAGATTCGACAAGGCTATGCTAATGATCCTATCTGGAAACCCATCATTGACCTTGTCACTAAGGATCCTGCCCTGTTACCCAAGTATAACATAACAAATGGATTGCTTTTCTTGATAGACGAAACTGAACAACGGTTGTGTATTCCTCACAAAGAAGAGATTAAAAGTCTGCTGATTGGGGAATGTCATGACTTTGTAGGACATTTTGGTTTCAAGAAAACTTATGCAAAAGTAAGAGAACGCTTCGATTGGAAAGGACTAAAGGAAGATGTACTAACATATGTGCGTACTTGTCTGCTATGTCAGAGAAACAAACCACCACATGAGAACCCTCTGGGTCTACTAAGGCCCCTACCAATTCCCAGCGAACCAGGTGAGTCTATGTCCATAGACTTCATAAGTCTCGTCAAAAGTCGAAATGGCAACAGTCAAGTGATGGTTGTAGTTGATCGTTTCTCTAAGTATGCAATGTTTATTCTTTTGCCTGCTAAAGCGAAAACTGAGTTTGTGATCCAGAAGTTTCAGATACGATGGGTAACTGAGTATGGATTCCCATTGTCTATCGTATCTGACAGGGATGTGAGGTTCACAAGTATGCCATGGCAAAAGCTGATGGAGGCATATGACACTCGTTTGACCATGTCGTCAGGACGCCATCCTGAAACGAATGGGCAAAGCGAGCAAATGAACCGCTTCTGCCAACAGCTCTTGCGCATGTATGTCAGGCCCGATCAGATTGATTGGGACGAGAACTTACCAAAAATAGTTAGTGCATACAACAACAGCGTCCACACTGCAACCGGACGCACTCCTAACACACTACATAAAGGATGGAAGCCGCGACGTCCCATTGATGTATTAACTAGGGACCAATTTTTACGGCTACCGCCAGGAACCCGTGAATATGCGGTTCTGTTCCAATAAGACATCCATGAAGTTAAGGAGAATCTAAAGAAAGCACAAGAACAGATGATTAACCAGGCCAACAAACATCGAAGACCTGCTAACTTTCAAGTAGGTGACATGGTTTGGGTAAAGTCTAATGAATTCTCCTTGGAAGAAGATGTTTCACAGAAATTGCTGCCTGTCTACTTTGGGCCCTGGGAAGTTCTCAAAGTAATTGGAGATGCAGAGGGACCGTCCTACAAAATTGATATTCCCCCGCATCTCAAAACCTACCGTGTATTCCATGCCTCTAAGTTGCTACCGTATGTGGAGGGAGATGAGTTTCCTAACAGGCCTTCTATGATTCCACCTTCGATGAACGAAAGTTATGAAGTAGATCGGATTGTAGACCATGGGTTCATCTCCACCGGAAGGCGTGGACGACAGCAGAAGCAGTTCAAGGTAAGATTTAAGACTCAAAAAACATCCGAGGATCGGTGGTTCAGCAAACAACAGCTCCTTGAAACTGCTCCTGACATTGTCTCTGCATATGAGCATGGGTTGAAAGGTTAATAATTTATGCGATGAAACTCGAAATTGGGTCGGCAGGAATGCAGTAACCCACACTCTGCAGAGGCCGGGCTGCGTGACCACGCACTGCCCGGCCCAGCCCAGCGTCTGGCCAGTGAGACCCAACGCTGGACTGGGGAAATTCAAAGGTCAAAGTCAATTGTCGGGTCGCAGGTACCGTACCCAAGTCCACGAACAGATACACACATGTGTTGTATGCAGGTACCAGGCCAAGACATCGGACCAAGGGAGAAACAGTTGCAGACCGATCCAGGCCGTCGCCGCATCAAGATCTTGACGGCACAGGACCACTGCAGCGGGGCATTGACCCCGAGTCAACACTACTTAAAGTTAACTCCTGGCTTTGACATCATTCATTCTGTCGCGAGTCAAGGCTGACTCTACTTTGACGCGACGCTGGCTTGTGAGGTGCAAGCTTGTGAGGTGTTGGCTAATTGCTATCTGGAAGTTGGCGTTTCTCAGCGGTGACACGCTGCTTGCTTGCTGGCATGGCGGCTGGCTTGCTCTTGTCTACAAGGTGCTGACGTAGCAGCATCACGTGTCGTTGCTGACGTGGCTGCTGCCACGTAGGGTGTTGGTGACGTGGCTGTACCACGTGTTCATTCGTTGTTCAGGCTATCGTCGTCCGGAAGGAGGTCAGGGACTGTGGGGATGAGATGACACGTACCTGTGTGAGGCGACATTGCTGCTCCGTTGATGAAAMGAATGCTGATGTGCCACGTGGCACCTTGAGGAACTCAGATCTGTATCTGCATTGACGTTGTTGGAGAGGGGGCGACTCTGATTGGCCCGAAGAAGAAGTGGGCAACTTCTCTTCTAAGTTTTTTCTTCCCCCCTCTCTCTCTCTCATCTATGTATGTATATACTCGGATAGTGGAACAGATCTGTTCGACATTATTCATCAACAAGACTGGATTACTCGAGTTGCTTTGTCATTGAGCCACTGGACTATTGCTGCACGAGCGCTGATGCTCGTGCGTTGCTGTGAACAGTATCTGGATGTTCAGTGAGTGTTATCTTGCCTGGGTTCATTGCAAAGCTCTATATTCCTTTGGTCCTTAGTTAGCCTACTCACGTTCTTTTTGCTGTTTGCTCCTTCAGAAATAATTCTATTTTCCTTGGTTTTCCTGTTCGTTTTAGGTCAGGAAAAACACACTTGAAACTTGTATGTTGCTGCGCTTTCCTCTTTGACATCGATCTATTGCCCTACTTTCTGTCGATGCTACTATAACCTAATCTGATCCAATCCGTTTGATCTACGCCTTCCTAACCTATTAAACTAGTTCTACCTTCTCTATCCTTATCTCTCTCTCTCTCTTGGCGAACAATCACGAAAAACAACAACAAAAAGTTACCAAAAAAAAAAGCCTCAATTAGATCAATTTATATATTTCACGCAATTCCTTTGGTTATGTGTATTTTATTTGAGTTTTTATGTGTTATTATGTAATGATGGATTACCGAAAATAAGTCGAATTCTCAAATTACGAAAAC